TTTTTCTCAAAAATCAAAGAGACTGGAGCTGGCAAAGTTTAAAGGAAACTTTACCCACGTGGCTAGGATAATAACACTTTCGGCTTCGAGTCGTGGGACGCTTTCTTTACCCGCGAATTTCAGGACAATGTGCGACCCCTTGACCTCACAGCGGATATCGTCCACGCTTGCGAATCTGCTCCACTTCAATACCCGGTTAGCAATGTCCAGCTCACAGATAACTTCATGGGCAAGAATCAGGCCTATTCGCTCCAAAACATGCTTGATAATGACCCCTTGGCTACGAAGTTTGTTGGTGGTACAGTATACCAAGCCTTCCTCTCAGCTCTCAGCTACCACAAATGGGTTTGCCCTATCGATGGTACCATTGTCCAAATCACTCCTGTGCCGGGAACGTACTACTCGGAGAATATGTATCAAGGCTTCTTTGGCGGGAAACCCGACCCGGCCGCTCCGAACCTCTCTCAGCCTTACATAGCTTCTTTGGCAGCTCGACTGTTAATATTCATCCAGGCTGATAACGCTGCTATCGGCCTTATGTGCTTCATCGCGATCGGGATGGCTGAAGTTTCCTCTTGCGAAGCATTTGTCAAAGAGGGTCAGCACGTCAAAAGAGGTGACCCGCTGGGCACGTTCCATTTTGGTGGCTCCAGCCATTGTTTGGTATTTGGTCCAAACGTAAAGCTAAACTGGATTGGCCTTCCGCCTAAGGGTGACAAACGCTGGGATGACTGGGAGAACTTGAGCAACTACCATGTCAAAAGCGGGCTTGCTACTGTTTCATAATAGTTTTGCATTGCCAAATAAACTAACATTCTGTAGTATTTTGTTGTATTTCTGTCAATACACGTCATTCTAATTAGGCTGTGAACAAAAGCAGTAATATATCAATGATAATCAATTTGATGTATTAACGTAATTGGATGTGATTATCAATTGTACAACATACGTAAATATATAAATACTCATGTTCTTTATTTTATTACAAAATGTCACCGTAGAAGAATTACTTAAACTTTGTAACAAGGAGGTTCAACGACATTTACTGAAATAAAGAATTCATTACATACATACATATATATAACAAAACCAGCAAAAGGTTGATATGAATTACGGATGTTACGTGAGTATTTGCAAAAGATAGACGACGATAATAATTTAGAACGTATGATGAGTTAATCAAAGAAGTAAAGTCTCAAATCGATAAATTGCTGAGATAAATAAAAATAACTACTGTAAGGAGAATTTTGTCGATAAACAAGAGTTTGATAACATTTACGAGCTATTACTATAAAGTTCAAATACTTTAAAGAGTTAATATTAATTTGAATATTTAAAGAATATGTAAATATCTTTTTTCCGAAATAAGTACCATTCTGGGACACTTTCAAGAAGAATCCTTATATTTACAACTATTATTGGGGGTGTCTCGATATTTAAGGGTTGTAGACATATTAATATTCTAAATTATAACGAATTTACTTATTCTTATTTTTATTATTATTCAGATCACGTATCAGAGAAATCCATCATTATTAATTTAGTATTAGTACTAGTATAATTTAACCTAGTGGAATAAATTTACAAAGGGTCAACATTTCATTGGTTACACGTGATTCAATGAGTATAATCTATCGTTCGCTTTATTATGCTGCTGCAGACCTTAGATTAATGTACCGTTCAAGTGTTTAGAGTCTTGTTGCTGCAAAAATGAACGAATGGTTTCTAACCCTTTGCAGCATCGTTATTATCATCGGTTTGTATGTTTCATTAGTAATGCACAATTGTGATAAGTTGTTAGATTTAATCCTCTTGTAGACATTCTAATTCCCGAGCGCGTGCATTTATGGAGGGATAACTATTGACCATGCATGATAATCGATAGCATTTTCAAACGTGTCCGCGTAACAGAGAGCACACCAACTTAACTATCCCATTAGCTCGAAAATATCTTGATTAGTGTAATGACGTCAAGTCAAACGCGCGTTGTAAAACATGATATTAACATCAGCAAAAGAACATACAGACAACCTATCATGTCGTTGAAAACGGTAATAATAATAATATTATTATTAAATATAGTGTTGTCACTGTTTAACGTCAAGATTCTCCGAAACTAAAGTACCTGCAAATATAAAAGTCTAAGTGACAGAAATAATTTGTCCAGACGCTTGTCCAGCTTGTAATTTCAGCTGACTTTATAAAGATAGTACACAGTAGCGTAATGTCTGTCTAATAAACAAATAAGATTTATTGCTAAACTGTATTCACAGGCCCAAATATTTATCTGACTATTGGTTAATTCTATTTCAAAGATACCTTATATAATAATATCTCTAATTGGGAGATACGTTGATTTCTGAATTTAGCAACAACACGAAAACTTATTATTATTATAGAGACTCAAATGTTTGTCCGCTGAATTGTCCATCCTCATTTTAACTCAGGATCATCAACTCTCCCCACCTCCTCTCTCAATCTATTAATGTAATGTCATAACTTTGCAATTTTTTATTTCGTATCATAACCTACGCACTTTGGGTGGTCGACAACCGTTAAACGGAATTGGGGTAGCATCCGTGATCTGTTTTATTGACCATGAATTTTCAGGACTAGCCAAAGCCTTAAAAGCAGCCTCACGTCCTTGCCCAATTCCTTTTAATATCAATTCGACTTCGCCTACTTTGAGTTTCTTTTCTTTTACGGTTGCTATCACTGCCATTGCAGCTTGATGAGCAGCTTCGTAGCCACCTCTTTCTGCCTTTTTGAATCCGACAGCCCCACCACTTTTGGTACACACTACTTGCCCATGATGATCTGCCAACGTGACGATAGTATTATTCAAACTAGAATTAATGTATATTTTGTACATGGGAGATGTGTGAACGAGCATGTCTTTGAGAAGTCGAGATACGTCTGCAGTTGTTTCTCTTCCGCGCTGGGATGGACCTGAGCCGTCTCCTGAACTAGCAAGGTAAAAATCCGGACTTTCTCGTTGTTGTCGGGATTTCGCTAATACATCAAGAAGACCACCCACCCCTCGGTCCGCTGATGTTTCGCCAGACAATTTGGAGAGGAGGTTGTCTGTATCTGGTGTCTTGGTTGCCGAAGTTGTCGTAGTTGTTGCATCAATAGAAGGTTCATCATCCGCCGGTGAGTCATTGCTATCGGATTTGGAGGAGAGTTGGCATGCCTGCAGCCTTATTAGAGGACGAGTAATGGGTCTGCGTAAAAGATACATAGGGCGAAAAATGATCAAAATTTTCAGTAACGTGATTCGGAACTTATATATATATAGACATATTACGGCTTTTGTTTAACTCATTTTGTTTAATCAACTACGTGCCGAAGCAAAACGGGCCACTTCAAAAAAAAAACCCCCCCATGTGGTGAAGCATGTTTCATGTCAGTCTAGGCATTTAACTCGAGAATTGTCGCACAATTTACACGTTTCTGCTTATCGCCAGAATTGAATTTGAGCAGTCATCTCATGTAGTGATTTATTATGTGTTGTTCAAACGCGAAACAACTATGTTACTTTTTCTATTACACCCGGAAATTACATTAAACAATTAAATACATCCACACGAATTACCCCACATAACTCGATCTTCTCAATCACCAAGCCCACACGAAAGCAACTCTTTAGTCACTTCACATCCAAATCTGACTACTTCTTTTTCATCTTCCTTGTCCAAAATCTCTCCATCTTTCACAAACTGTTGCAAAAAGAATTTAATTCCCTGAACTAGGATGGGATTATTTAGGACGTCTGTAAACGCTTCGACGATCAAGGTAGGATCGCGAGAAGAATGATTGTATGTCAAAGATTGAGATAGAAGAAAAATGTCTGTGAAAAAGAGTTGGAAGAACAGAACTGTTTGCGGTTGAAGGCGTGTAAAGGTTACCGTCTGCGTAAGAGAGAATTAATTGTTAGTCAATTCAATAGCAACAAGATACTTTTCTTTCCTTTTTGCGTATTTCGTTTCTGCTCACCTTCAAAACCCTCATTGATATTCCTTTTTTGATGATCAACCAAGCATATAACTTTGCAACATTGACCACTCTCCTCACATCCACTTTTGCTTGTTCTCCGCCTCCTTTGCTCTTCTTTAACAACTCCATTCCTCCAACATCGGTCTCTCCACACTCACGTAGAAAGTCCCAAAGACAATATTGGAATGTTATTTTGTGGCTATGGGAGTGCATGCACAGCCGGTGTGATAGCAAAGAATAGTAAGGATTGTGAGTTTTTTCCTATTAATTTCAATTGAGAATGGGCGGGAGGAAATATATATACCATGGATCAATTTACAGATTCGTCAGAGGATTTTTTTTAAAAAAAAAACATTAGGATCTTATTCAATACTCACATTGCCGCAACAATGTAAAACAACCCTAGGAATTTCTCTTTCTTGAACGTCTTTTAAATTCAGTTTCATCAATCTCTCAAACGCATCAACATAATCTTCGCTACTCAACAGCACGACAAAAATGCTCCTCCTGACGTCAGTGTTCATTTTTTGTTTTCTTGCGAGCGCCAGTAATGACTCACTAGCGGAATGGATGGTTGAATCCATAGAGGACGTTGTAGATGGATTTTTATCGGATGTTGTCCAGGAGGCGCCCACTAGCCACCATTTGCCTTTATTCGGGAAAGTATATGTTTAGTAATGGGAGGACAAAATAGGCTAATTGCATAAAAAAAATAAATACCTTTAGTTTCAACGTTGCGTATATCCTCCAGTGACACTCTCAATGGCTCGGTAGCTAGTACTAATAGGGAGAGTCATTAGTAGTATCATCACTCCAAGACCAGTCATACCGAAAATATCCGCTAACGTTACCTTGCCATCTCTTATTCATATTCCCCAGAAACTTTTTCAGTCTAATCACGATTTCTACGTTGCCCGAATGATTTTGCTTTATTTTATTATTCTTGAGATTTACAATCGTTTCCAGCATGAATCTTGCGCGAGATCTGAACGGGGATATCGGGTTGAAACGATGCACTCAATAATTATATTATATGAACGTATACGTATAAATTACGACACACCTCCCCCTTCGCGCAACAATATACATACGTTATCCTTTGAGGATCAGTTTTGGTCATAGCGGTCTGAATCAATTGGATAATCTCCTTCAGTGCACTTGGATCGTCTTGTCTAAGTTGTGATCCAGAGTCTATAAGAAAAAGCCATATTCAGTCCCTCAAATATATAGATTTGCCAACGAAACGTCACCACTTTCACTTACTTCTCAGAACTTTCAACAAAAGTTCAACGTTCAGTTCATTCATCTCTTTGCAAAACGATCTTATCAAGTCATACATTAAGACACATGAAACGACTTGAAAATTATAGAGTTCTACGGTAAGCGTTATTAAATTTATCGGTTCCTTTGTAGAAGTTGAATCGTCATCTAGCATAGCAGAGGATGAATTATCGTAATATCTGGTAAAGTCTGAGATTAATTCTTGGACTACATGTGCGCCTGGTGAAACAAAATATGTTATTGTTAACAGATAATCAAATAAATGCTTTTCCTTGAACCGGACTATAAAAATTACATAACACTCACAAAAATCAACTCCAATGATCTTGTATAATCCAGCTACCAACGCTGCATATGTAACCACAAACTGATCTATCAGGCCAGACTTTTGTGATATGGTGTTCAAAATCAACGTTGACAAAGTGGCGGTCACATCTATAGCAACGTAGTAAGATTAATGAGCTTTCCCCCATCATCGATAATGACTGTCAAACAAGCGTTTCTTACCATGGCGGGGAAACTTCCAATATAATTCTTCTATAGACGACAAGATTACTTCAATATTTTGTTCGCTCAGTCTAATAGACAAAGCAAGTAGAGTCATCTGAGATACGATTATGGTCAATGCTAACGAAAAAGTCTTAAATACAAGATTTGAATTATTTTTGAATTACCGATTAAGTAAACCTAATATATGCTTTTGTAATCTTGACAGTTGTTCCCTGCGTTCATTGTTATATTCCGCTGCCTTTGCGCGGAGGTGAGGAGGAATATATTTGTCTGAAATTCAAAGTAAAAGAGAACTAATGTCAAGTGAGATTTAAGAGATCAAAATGTGGCAACAAGGAAACTTACTGTCAACGTCCGTCGACCTAGAATGCTTTCCAGCTTCGGTAGCGATGGTACTGGAGTTTGTGTCATAATCTTCATTGTCACTCAGATCTTCATTTTCATCATCGTCGTCTGCATCTTCCTCGCCGTTACTAACTTTCTATTTCTAAGATTTAATTAATAAAACAACTTATTATTATTAAAAAGTGATATAAAAAGTCATTAAAATTTGGGGCTTTTAGGGCAATATGTTTGTTTGCTTGCTTGTTATACGCCGATTCTTTAAGCCTGACTTATTATAACTTTAATAAGTTTGCGAGTAAGGAAAACAATCAACATATTGTATTTATGCTAATTGACAAGATTTTTATTGTCAGCAATTATGCCAACAACTGTAAAAAGTATCTACACAAATAATACCGTTTTTTCATGTTTTTACTGTCGTAATTTTTTTGTGACGGAGAAAAATAAATTTTGTTTTTTTGTTATTTTTTACAGTTTTGCGGGGCTAATGATTTAGTTTGTGCTGTATTCTCGTAGACCAAGACTAGAAAAATGTACCAAAATCAGATCGAATACTAAATCCAAGTCAACGCTTTCATATTCCTGAATTGAGTGACGTAATCTTTTGAGCAGATCAATTATTGATTTAGAAGCCTATTAACCCCTGTTATGTTGTATGCAAACATGTAAATCTGTCAAATGTCCCCAAAATTTCTTACCAAGGTTCCTAAAATAAAAACCGCCTTTAACAT